TCTTTTGATTCATCTTCATCCAACGTTACCAAAGTTCCTGAGGTTGAAATATTTGACTCCAAAGTCATTTTCACTGAAGTTTCTGATACTACTTCCTGAAAACCTTTTCCCTCTTCACTCCATCCGTCTTCTGCAACTGATGAGACATTTTCATAAACAACTGATTCAGAGAATCTACTCAAAGGGTCTGAAGAGTCATCTGGAAGTGTAACTTCACATTCTGCTGGGGCTGGCAGTGATTCAAACGTCAATTCCAGCTCCTCATCATGATTCAAAAGGAGCCTTGCAAATTGTTCATGAGCAGATGCACGCACGACCTGTTTATATCATATTGTTTCAATCATCATACCATCAATCAAATATTAACCCCCTTGTCCCCAAACAAAAAACAAAAAGACCACAACCCTCAAACTAAATGTTAATCAATATTCAAGAAAACATCAATACCAGATGATCTGGCTCGTCTAGGAATTCCAAACATTGTTGGAAGAATCTTGCACACTTGCTCTTATTATTTGGAGCCTGCATGAGGACAATTAGGAATTAGAAACACCAAAACAGCTGGATGTAGGCTATGAATTGTTGCAGAGTACAGAATTGCTACTTGTTTTATACCATTGAAAGGGAAAGCCTGTGAGCTATACGATAAAGGAGAGTTCCCAAAGAAAATAGTGAATCACTTCTCCCTCTGTGCATTAAAGAAGGCAGGGAGCTTGTGTCATCATCACAATCGCTGGAGGAATGGGTTTTGGGAATAACAGAAAGATCAAAAAGTTGAATCATATCTTCACCAGCACTTTTATACAGCTGTAAAAAAAAAGAATTCAGATTAAAAAGACAGCATTCACTGGAAATAATAAATAAAAACAAAAAAATTTGAAAAGAGAAACTCAAAGTAAAATAAAATCATTTGTGTACCCAGTAAGCACCAGGATCTTGCTTGCAGTTTTCTTCAAGGAACCTCAAAACAGAAAGGCCATTTTGTTGGACAACATGAGGATGGAAAGCAGGAGTACCATCTTCAGAGATGCCTTTTAACAAAAATATATCATCTGTTTTAAGTAGTTCATAACCCTGAACAACACCATTTTCGTGATAACATATGGCCAGCTCAGGAACACTAGCCATGATATTGTCAAGCCAGGCTTCAAGCCAAGTTAATGGAGTGACCTATTAAAAAAGTTGAAGAAACAATGAGAAGATAGTAAAACATAAACAGTGAAAAGGTGACTGAATTTTTTCATTACCTGTCGAGTTACATCCCATAAATGCAAGCTGACAGCAACATATTTTTCATTACTGAACAGAAGCAAGTCACTTCCTAAAAGCATGCGGAAATTGTGAAATTGCCAAAATAAAACCCTTAGAAATCCATCATTACTGACTCTTTTATGCTTTTCAGACTCTTGCATCGAGCACCTGGGCTTCTCGCCAAGATGCGAAGACTTCTTTACAGGACGATGGGCCTTATTTCTTTTAGTTCTCTTACTATCCCAAATAAAGCTATCCTGTTTAACCTGTGGGTATTCGGAATGATGGTCAAATCCTTCATTTCTAGTGGCATCATCACTCTGCCCCACAAATTGGGATGCATCTCCCCCGGGAAGCACAGATGAATTTGATTGCCCCTTTGATGAAGCAGGATGAGTGGGCGGACAATCACAAGCCTCCATTCTAACTGAGTGCATAGCAAAATTCAAAAACAAAGATTGATCTGCACATTTTTTTGATTGATTATTATGTCTTCTGACCAACCTTTCTCCCTCTTCTGCATCTGGCCTGCATGCAACAATATTTCAAGAAGTTAAAATATTTGCAAGATGATTAAGAAAACTGTGGATATAAGGATACAAACCCAGTATTCAGAACAAGAGTCTGTCCAATACGGCGTACTGCAATTGATAATCGAGCCTTGGAATACGGTATTTTAAAGATCTGCTTCAGAATGTCAGCTGAAGCAATCACGTCTATTTCATCTCCATACTCCACCAAACCAGATACAGCAAGGGCTTCACATTTCCTAGTATGATTTGATGAGATGGCATCACTAACCCAAGGTACCTCTGCAAAGTTTAAAATCCAAACTCATAATTACAAAAGTGACCGCTTCAAGAAAGATGAGAAATAATAGAAAACCTGTACTTGCACTTCGATTTAGCATGACAAAAGTTGGAGAATCATATGATTAACTAACAGTTTTATTGAAATCCTAAAACAATAGAACATATGAGGAAGTTTAAAAAATCACAGCAAATTCCAATCCACAATAGATAATAGAAAATTCCAGTTATATGACAGGCCCTGCTCATTAAGATAACAACACAAAATTCACTATATTCTCAGGGCTTATAGTTAGCTAATCCTCTATATTAAAAATATAACATAAAGCATCCAGTTGCAGCACTGACCATGCGCTATTCAAAGACAAATCAGTTACCATACTAGAACATAACAATCTCACTTGCCCTCTAACCTCGACATGTAAAATCACAACATCAGCCCGCAAAACATTTTCAATAAAGTGCCAGCTTAAGACTGAAAAAAAAAAAAAAAAAAAAATCAATATCTTGTTAAAGTGTATGAAGTGCTCAATCGAAAACACTAGTGCTTCAAAGACAGATTACTTACCTTCCTAGAACATAACAGTCCAAAGTACCTTCTAACCAGTTAAAGTCTATGAAGTGCACAATGAAACCACGAGTGCTTCAAAGACAGATTAGTTACTGTCCTAGAACATAACAATCCTAAGTACCTTCTAACCTGTTAAAGTCTATGAAGTGCACAAAGAAACCACGAGTGCTACAAATACAGATTTAGTGACTGTCCTAGAACATAACAATTTGAAGGACCTTCTAACCTGTTAAAGTCAATGATGTGCTCAATCAAAATCACGAGTGATTCAAAGACAGATTTGCGAGACAGATTAGTTATCGCCCTACAACATAAAAAAAAAAAAAAATAATAATAATAATAATAATAATAATCCAAAGTACCTTCTAACCTCAACGCATAAACTTACTACAATCATCACAGCACCTCCCACCTAACAGCTACAAAAAATCACCAGCTGAAAGAACCAAAAACCTTTATTTTTCTTCTTTCTAACAAGTCATAAGCAAATTGTAGCCTCTTTCTCGAATAATGAAATCCTTATACATAAGACAAAACATTCATTTCATCAATGTCACAACTGAAGGTCTTCAGTCGCCTCAAAAACACTCAATAGTATAGAAATTCAAAACAAACACTGCTCCACCGTCGTAAAAAAAGGAAGGAAAAAAAACAACTCGCCTCCTTTAAACTTAGACTGAATAGCAGCACTGATCGGAAGAGCTTTCTCCGGCAAGTTCGAAACCACAGGAAGCGTATTCAAATCAGTCTCCGTCGGCAACATCCGGTACCTCGGTGCACTAACACTACCTCTTTAGAATTAACAAAACAAAACAAAAGGCATAAAAAAACATAAATATATATAGAACTAATTTTAAGAGAGAGAGAGAGAGAGAACGAAATGTTACGTTTGGCGAGAAGAAGGAACGAGAGCGGAATTGAAGGCGTGGAAAGATTTCTCAGTAGGAACAGGAATAGAACCGCAGAGAAAACCGACAGGTGGTTTAGGTCTAGCGATTTCCAGTTTACCGACGCATTGTAGTTCTCTTAACGTGCTCGATTCTGATTGCTGTGACGGTCTCTCCATCTCCATAGATTTATTGATTTAGTTTTCTTTCCCTTAATGCTGCTTCAATAACCAATCAAATGCTTCTGTGATTTTGTTTCAGTTTGGCGATGATGGTGATGATGAATTTAGTAGTTTTCGTTTCTCTTCTTCTTCTAGAGTTCGCTGGAAGTGTTTTAAGAATTTGTTCAAAAGCCAAATCAATGTTTTCGCCTCGTAAATTATTAATCAGTCCCTTTAGTTTGTCCATTCTTAATTTGACATTATTTTATTTGAAAAATTTCATCAAAATTTTTCAAAATATCTTAAAAAATGAAAAAAAAATCTAAAAGAAAAACTAAATAATTAGTTTTTAGAAATAAGGGGACTAAGTCATTCGTCTCTAAACACTAAAGAGACTAATTTATAATTTACTCTTGTTTCGCCTGCTTCACCGCTTCCACATAAAGTTAACGTCAAGTCGTCTAATGTCTCCGTAAAAGCTTATATTCATCTTTCTACTCTTGGTTTTGTACTAATTTAATTTTGTTATTTTTTTTGTGTTAAGTTCGATCTTTTATTTTTAAATATTTTAATTTAGTTTAGGATCATGAATTGGAAACAAGTGTCATTCTTCAAAATCCAACAGAAAGAAAGAGAGAAGAGAGTTCAAAGTTAAGGCGTAGATTGTAGACTAAACAACTCAAGCTACTCTTCAGTCATCTTTATGCATCTAATTTGTTGATTTCGGAATTCCAGTTTGGTTTGACCACTAATAGCCTTTGGATAGATTTTGGTCTCAGATATTTCATTTGTGATTGTCAAACTAGATGGATGGCTTGGTATGAAAGCATAGTCATTGAGTTTCATTGCAATTGTAATTGAAGGAAAATTCCCGTGGTTAAGTTTACTTGGTTCAAACAAAAGATGAGTTCTTTTGATTCCTTATGTGCAGTCAAATTATTAATGTTAAGAAAATGGAACTAAAACACCTACTAGGGGTGATTGATTCTGGAATGAATTTCTGAAATCCAAGCTATATCTGATTTGGTGGCCTAGGGTTTGCTCTATTATATATGTAATAAGGAAATTGAGTAAGAGAGGATCGAAGTTGGAAAAAGTTTAATAAATTCAAGGGTTACCAAGTTCACGCTATTGGAAGTCATGTGGCATGAGGTTTAAGGCCTTTAAAAGTTGCAAAGAGATTAAGGTAATAGACCCAGATCAACTTTTTGTTATTCTGTGTTAATATCTCTTTAGATGCTATCTGCATGTAGTGCTAATCACATTCTTTAAGCTATCTTTATGGGAAAAGCTCTCTGTAGTCTCATATTATCCGAGGTTTATGGAGAAATATGTGAGATACATGACCGATAGGAAGCTGACTAATGGCTCGTTATGGCCTGCAAATTTTCTTCTCTTGAATGACCCTGTCTTAACTGAATCAATGTCGCCGCTTAGTCGACTGTCTGATTACGCATGCAGGAAGCCATTAAAGGCAACGGATCGTGTTCATAGACACCATGCATGTGTTTAGAAAATTATTCTAAATCAAGAGGCATGCATTGTGCTGTTCCTAAGTATAAGTACGTAGTTGAGATTGATTTATGGATGGCTAATGCCTTTTTTGTTATCTTGTGTAAAAGAGATGTATTTTTTTAAGGCTGCAAAACATAATACTGCAAAATAAAACTGAATTATAGCAGTGCTAATTAGTTTAACCAAAAATGAAAATAAAAAAGATGAACATTTATTGTCTTTAATTTTAAATTGAATACTTAAACTAAAGACTGGTAAACCGCATCATGAAGCACAGATTAAAGATGGTTATGATGTCAGGAAGGTTTGTCCATGCTTGCTGTCAAGCTGCTGCTGCTACTTCTGCTTATTGCCCACCTTGCAGAACTTATGAAGTCCCCAGATAATAGCAATCAGAATCTTTGAATTGATAGCTCCTATGATCGATCCTGCAATAACATAATCTATCTTGCTTGTCCAAATCAATCTTCTACCTGCATGAACGGTCAAGAATCACGCAATGATTAAATTGTATCCAAATTAACATGTCAAAAAGATGGTTCAAAAACAATCACTAACGGCGAGGAGTTTGATAGCAAGAAATCGACTTCAGTGTAAGAGTTTTCGATAACATCTCATCTATATTTATATTGAGTATTCAGTAGTCTATACAGGAAATTGCTTTTTCCCTTAATTGCTAGGAACAGTATTGGAAGTTTGGCCACAGAACAGTATAGGAAATTGTTGTTTTCCTTAATTTGTAGGGATTTATAGTATAGGAAGTTTGCCTAGCTACAAGACACTAGATGTCTGAAATTGTGTAGGAAAGTTCTCCTGGCAAGAATATTAGTGTACCCAAAAGTTCCACTACAAATCTACCACTATAGACACAATAACCTCTAATTTAGCTTTGTTTTTTTATTACTCCCATTTTTCAAAACATTTTAATAACTTTCCTATTTTAATTAGTATTTCAGAAAATAAACCTGTAAATTAAAGAAAGCAACGGAGGTCTGAAGGTTATCTTCTCCAGAAGCTCTCATTGGCATCAACATCAACAAAGCAGAGAAACTCTAAGATATGCAATTCCTCGGAAAGTCTATTACATGGTAGCCAGTCATAAGAAAATGTAATACCCATAAGTCCATGTAAGTAAATAAGAGAGGGTTTTTAAATGAGAGGTATTAGGGTAATTTAAAAGCAAAGAAAATAAAGAAATAAAGGGAAGATTGGCAGAAACCAGAAAAAAAACAAAAGAAAAACGGGAAAGGGGAGGAGAGAAAGAAAAAGAAGAAAGGAAAGAGAGGAGAAGGAAGGAGAGGAAGAAGAAGACTCGCCGGCGACCACCCACTCCGGCGACGGCTCCGACGATGGCAGTGGTGGAGTGACTCGGGTAAGGAGAAGAAAAATGAGGGTAAAAAGAGGTGAAATAAGGAAGAAAGAAAAAGATTTATTAAGTGAGTTTTTGGATTTTTTTTGAATGTTTTAGTTAATTATAACCTTAATTAGGATGGGTTATAGGTAATTTAGTAAATTTTATTTTTGAATTAAGAATTTGAATTAGGGATTAGGTTTAATTAAAATTAAGGTTTATGTTAGTTTAGGAAATTTGGAGAAAGTGAGTGAATGGGTTAATTAGGGTCCAATTAAACTTGAATTTCAATTTATTAGTGTCTAATTATTGTTATTATTGATGAATGCAAATTTATGATGATAGAGGTAAGAGAAGATTTGGTGGAAGAAGTCTGCTTAAGGAAGAGGCAATTATAATTTGGGGGTGTTCCTTTAGATTAGAGGTAAGTATAACACCTATTATGAGTCTTTACTATCATATATGTCTATATTGCTTGTGAGGTGAAAATTTGATTATTTGGATAAATGCTTAATTATTAAAAATAATAATAATAATAATAATAATTGCATGTGAATTGAATTTTTTTAGTATAGATGAATTGAATTGGTATATTGCCCTATGAATTATGGCTATTAAAGGAATATTGATACATTGAATGGTATATGTGCATGTTGATATAATGATCACTTGCATTAAATGGAATTGTGTGATTGCTATGTGTTGAATGATAATAATGAGATTGATGACTTGAAAGAAGTCTATGCGGGACTAACTAAGCTAACGGGGTTATAGTTAGCCTAGGTGCACGTAGTATTTGCCGGCTAGGGAATGGCCACGAGTGCTTCCCTCGAGTTTACCCTGCGGGGGCTAGAGTTTACCGTTACCCTTACGAGGGCCATAGTTACCCTTTTGAGGGCCAAAGGAATAGACGATTCTGCATAGAGTGATTTCAAGAAATTGTTATGCTATTATTAATTGTTAAGAAAGAAAGAAAAAAGAAACAATTATTGATTGCTTGCTTGGTTGCAAATCATGTATGATATGTGCATTGGCATAATTGTATGTATAGCGATTTATAATATGTGTTATGCTTACCGAGTTTTGAAAACTCACCCCCCTAAACCTCAAATATTTTGTAGATAATACGAAGCTAGATCATAGAAGGAGGACGATAGATTTTCCGGATTTGAAGGTACTACCCGGATATTATTTTGCTTCCTCCGGTATGGGATATTATTTTGCTTCCTCCGGGTATAGGACATGGTTGTTTTAAATTTGTATTCATTGTCCATTTTGGAATTGTAACTAGTCATTGTGTATTTTATTTCACTCAGTTGCTCCGTTGGTAGCATCACCAAATCCGGGGATAGCTAGTTAAGGGTCTCCATATTTTGTATTTGGATGGTTAAATGATGATTTGTAAATTTGGTTATGTTAAATATTGGATTATGTGTATTTTTGTCAATTTAGTAAATACTGAGATTTATGAGGAAGTGTGGATGTCCAATGGAGGGACTTGAGGATGATTGAGAATTGGTAAAGATGATTTGGAAGTGTACATCTATTGTGATTTTCATGCGGGACATTATTTTTGGGATCGTCTAATTATAGGGGAAATGCTCGTCGAAATTTACGTAGAAAATAGAGAAAGGATTAAGGCTTACGTAGCCTATGGTGGGTCACCCCACCCCGGGCTACGTGCCGGTCGCGGCTCGCCAGTTCGGGTTGTGACAGAAAAATACAGACAAGCCAAGCATCATGGAAAGGAAACCGTCTTTTGATCGGTTCAAAGAAGATACCTTTGGAGTGTATGCGATGATAAGGAAAAGATGTGCAAAGTGGCATGGGAAAAATGTATTCTAGTGAGAAAAGAAGATGGCCTTAGGATCGGATCAATTCTCTCAAAAAATAAAGCTCTTCAAGTGGATATGGAGACTCGGAGAAGGCACTAAATGAACGAGGATGGCAGAAATTGATTAAGGTAAAATATAAAACAGAACACTCTGCTTTGTTTTCCTCATCATCATCAGAATAGGCTGTCAGCTATATGGAGATTATGTATTACATAATTCCACAGTTACTGAGGACTCCCAATCAGTAACTGTAGTGAAGAATGGAATTCAAAGATCTGTTGGTGATGGGGTCAAGTAAAAAGTTCTGATTAGATTTTTGAAACAAATAGGTTATCAAGACTTTATCAGTTATCTTCAGATAAATTCAAATTCACACCAGAAGACTAAATGTTGTGAAGGAAAATCTTTTCCCTCTCTCTTGTTCTTCTCTTCTATGCTATCCTTATTTGCTGCTTACCGTTGGAAGCAAGGTTTCAATAAAATCCTCGACATATCAAATTGTATTCCTTTTTCCAATAGCTCTGTCATATTTTTCCATGATTCTCAGCTTGTTATCCATCATGCAGCTAATATGTTGAATCGAGGAGAATTTTGTAATGATTATGTTGCACATACCAAATCTGCCTTTTATTTGCATGATAAGAGACAAATAAACAGCTACGTATATATATATATATAGCACAAGAGAAATTCAGAACCAGAAACATATAATCAAGGAGAAAATTGAAACTCAAATCCGACCGGCCGGCTTCCATTCAACAATTAGTTTCAATATGTAGAAAAATTAGCTCAGCAAATGAACGGGAGACTGCTTGCTTACTTTGATGCTTCTATCCTACAAAACTAATTTCTTTCTTCTTTTTTTTCATGAAATTTTGTTACAGTGTAATACATGCATAATAGGACGTGCCCATATTAATCAGTTAAAGGAAAGGAGTTAAGGACACGTGGCAGCTGGGGAGGGCTTCAAGCGGTTAATACAGTTAGTTAATCACAGACTTGGTTAAGACAGTTGTTGTTGTTGTTGTTGGAGAGAAAGCAGCTAGTCCATTTACTAGTCTTACATAACAGTGAACTTACCAACAGTCACAACTACCTTGTTTTGATGTTGACCATCCATTTAAAGCCCTGCCAATCGTGGTCCTTTCATCCTGCAAATACAAAGCCCCAGCTTCTCCTAGCCTTCATTTCTCGTCCTCCCCCTTCTCTCTTTAACACACACGTACTTATCGAAGACTCTCTCTGCTTTGATTCGAATGAGGAGGAAGAAGAAATGGGGTGCAAGGTTTGATTTTTCTGATTTAATACTTTTTGGTGTTTTTTTCTTTTCTTTTTTTCTAATTTTCTTTCAGATTTATGGGTTTTCTTTGTGTTTGGGTTCAAGAGGACTGAAATTGGGTATTAATAGTTGGTACTTTTGTCAATGATTTAGCTTTTCTTTTGGTGCTTTTGAGCTGCCAAGTTGGGAATTACTGTTCATTTCTTGTGTGCGTTGTTGGTTAATGTTGGGGTTTGTGATAAAACTGAAATTCTTTGATATAATGGGCAAATGGGTGAAATGTAATGAGATTTTTTTTATGGGAAAGTGGTCTCCTTTCACACTGTTTGAGATGATTAAACTGAGATTTAATGGAGCTAAGTATAGGGTTTCTTTTTTCTCTCTCATCTTTGCTAGCAACAAATGCAAATATTATATGTTCATTGTTTGACCATTAACTATGGGAATTGTTAATTACAGAACTGGGAACATTCACAGTTGCGGCAATCGTATGAGACAACAATATATATCAGGTAAATATATTGATTTTTGGGGCTGCACTTTTGGTACAAGGATCTTGCAAAGTTAACTTGATTTGATGTTTATAAACTACAGCATGATAGAGAGTTTGTTGATGTTGACATTTTTCAGCGGTAAATTCACAGCATCACTAGACAAAGAGAAGAGCTGCAACAAATGAAGACCGAGGCTCGAGCTCAGGTGATTGCAAGGTTTGAGATCCCAGAGTTGGATTTTTTAAACATGTTCTCTGTTTTTCCTTGCCAAGATCCCAGAGTTGCGGGAACAGGTCTTTTATTTGGCTAAAGGTTTACAAATCAGCAGTTAAGGTTTCTGTCGAATTTACTCTTGCAAATGAGCAGTTTTTTTTTTTTTTTTCCATATTTTCATTCACATTTATTAGGATTTGAATCCACCCATGCATGTGTTTAGAAAATCTTTACGTAGTAAAGATAAAGATTCTTCATAACATAATATTGTAAAATAAAACTGAATTATAGTAATACTGATTAATTTAACCAAAAATAAAAATAAAAAACATTAACATGTTTGGTCTTTAACTTTAAATTGAATACTTAAACTAAAAAACTATTTAACCACATCATGAAGCATAAATTAAAGATGGTTATGATGTTAGGAAGGTTGCTTCATGCATGCTTGCTGTCAAGCTGCTGCTACTTCTGCTTCTTGCCTTGCTTGGCAGCACTCATAAAGTCCCCAGATAAAAACTATCAGAATCGTTAAGCTGATAGCTCCTATGATCAATCCTGCAATAACGTAATCCATCTTACTTGTTCAAATCAATCTTCTACCTGCATGAACGGCCAAGAATCACACAAGTATTAACTTGAATTCAAATTAACATGCAAAAAAAGATGATTCAAAAACAATATTTAATTACCAACAGTCAGGAGTTTGATAGCAAGAAATCGACTTCAGTGTAAGAGCTTTCAAAAGCATCTCATCTATATTTATATTGAGTAATTTAGTAGTATATAATCCATACAGGAAATTTTTTTTTCCTCTTAATTGCTAGGAACAGCATAGGAAGTTTGGCTACAAAACAGTATAGGAAATTGTTGCTTACCTTATTTGGTAGTCTATAGTCTATACGGGAAATTATTTATTTATTTATTTAACAGTCAAGTCTCTCTTGCCGTGCCAGCTTCAACATTGTCAAATATTTTTTAGTAAATTATAAATTAATCCCTTTAGTTTTGTTAAATGAATTAAATAGTCCATCTTGTTTCAAAAATCAATTAATTAATTCCTTGACCATTGTTAACCCTAGTTAATTTAGTATTAATTTATTCTTAAAAAATTTCTTCTTTTTTTTCCTCATCAGTCCTCTTTTTTTTTTTTCTTAAAATAAAAAATCAAAATAATTTGAAAAAGAATAAAAAGTATTAAGTTACAAATAGACTTTAAAATATAGTAATTGATTAATTAGTTTTTGAAACTAAAGAAACTATTTAATTTGTTTTGAAAAACTAGAGACACTAATTTATAATAATCAAGATTTGTTGAGCTATATAAGAGATTCTTGAATTATTAAATACAGGAATGATTGAAGTATATTTTGGGAAGTTTTGAAGATGGATTAAATTGAGAAGTGATCAATAGTGTGGAGGAAGAGAAGATGGGCAAGAATGAGGCAGTGTGGATGGAGTTGGGAGATATGTGTAACTGACTTTGATGGTTTATTTTTTCTCTATGTAGGATTTGGAGTGTTTGACATTAATTTTTTTCTAGATGATCAATTATGTAATTAAAAGAGTGAATGTAAGTGGAGGGTTTTTGAAAGGATTTTGAGATTACAACTAATGTAAGTTTTCTTTTCTTTCGAAAAAAAGAAAAAAGCAAAGAGAGAGATTAACATTGGAATATTAATTCTATAATCATTAATCTTACCTTATCTTATTTTTCATCTAATAAAAAGCACAGCTAAAGGCTAAAACTTTGACGATGCTATATTGCCTCCAATTATATCTCATCATACACGTTGAAAGTATGAGGAAGCATAATATTGTTCGTTGTAAATAAATAGTAATGCAAAAGAATATTAAAATATTTTAAAAAAATTTCATTATTTATTTTTATTACCATCTCCTTCAAAATAAATTAATTTACTAAAGAATATTAATTTTCTTTTTTATAATTTTGAAGAAAATTTTTATATCCATTCCTATCATTTAATTTTCATAGAAAAAACACACTTAATTACAAAAATATTTAATTACTTGAAAGGATAGACTCTGCTTGTAAGATAAGTAATCTATCCCTCTATAATAGATATATATTTTTTCAAACACATCTATTTGAATCCTCTTATGTTTATATTCAAAATTAATATTGTATATGCTTGATTTTCTCCTAAAATTAGTAATTTAGCTAATTTTATTATGTGTTAATCCATACTATTTTTTTTTTTTTTAATTTTTGCATGGATTCAAGTTACGCAACAAATAGATTGAATTAAGAATGGACTTCACCCAACATAAAGTTTTGGGTTATACAATGATGGACATGGCCATATGGGTATTCAAGTAAAGCCAATGTCCATTGTGGTAATATCGCACATATAGATGATAAATGCTAAGAAAACATGGTTTTCCACCTAATTTCTCACCCACAACTTGCCCTAATCGGTACTCACCTAGAGAATACAACAAACCACGATTCAAAGTAGCTAATCAAGTAGAAACTCATCTGGATTCAGCATTTGAAAATAAGGCATCGGCCTTTGATCTCACCACAAAATCAGCTACAGCAAGCTCCGGTTTCAGCCTTAATTAAGAACAATATAACCGAGTTGATGACTCTGCTACACAAAAATCCAGAACCCGAGGGAAGTTTAGCTCAAGCTTCATAAATGAATACTTGTTTCAAGAGAAAATCAAGATACTCACTCATATATTTCCTCATCCTCTTTATGGTCATCCATATGGATCCTTAATTCTAGTGTCATAGATCATATTGTATGCAATCTTCATCTCTTTTTTAAGTCTATACCGTTAATGGAGAAACTATGAAGCTCCTTATTGGTTAATATGTATTTGTTTCACACATTGGCATAGTCAATATTTCATCCATCATCCTAACTAGTGTTCTTTATATCCCAACTTTGCTTTCAATCTCATTTCTATTAGCAAACTTACATATTCTTCTTATTGTAAACTAATATTTAATCATGACTCATGCCTCATTCAGGATCTCAACACTTTGAAGATGATTGGTTTTGCTAAATAAACCAACGACTTACACTACCTCTTTCCAACACCTAGGCCAACTCTTCCTTCCTTTGCAATGTTACTTTTAAACAACAAAGTTGATGACATCAAAGACTAGGGCACCTCTCCAACGAACAATTACAAATGTTATCTAGCACAAATCCTACTATTACCTGTTACAATGTTATACAATATGATGTTTGTCATTATGAAAAACAAAAATGATTATCATTTTAATTAAGTGACTTTTTTATTGCCTTTTATTTTGATTTGATACATATTGACATTTGGGGACCTTACCATACTCCCTCTTTACATGGCTATAGATATGTCTTAACAATTATGGATGACCATAGTAGAATGACTTGGATATACATGATGAAGTTCAAATCGGAAACAAGATAGCACATCACGACCTTTTGTGCCTATGTTGAAAGACTATTTGACAAAAGGATAAAATGCATAAGGAGTGATCAAGGGACGGAGTTTAATATGACGAAATTCTTTAATGATAAAGGGATTATTCATTAGATTACTTGTATTGAAACACCTAAACAAAATGGAAGGGTAGAAAGGAAACATCAACATATACTAAATGTTGCTCGAGCATTAAAATTTCAAGCCAATCTTCCTACAAAGTTTTGGGAAAATTGTGTTTCATATGTAATTTTTCTCATTTGTTGTATACCCTCTCCTGTACTTTCCTAAAAAACCCTTTATTGTATTATGTTTGGAACTAATCCCGACCTTTCTCATTTAAAAGTTTTTTGCTCTCTCCGTTTTGCTTCAATTAAAACACCAAATAGAGATATTAGAGCAAGAAGATGTTTTTTGTTTTTCCGCAAGTACTAAATGCTACAAGGTCTTTGACCTCGACTCAAAAGAGACATTCCTCTTAAGAGATTTGACATTCTATGAAGACAACTTCCCTTTCCACCACTCACCACCGGAATCTATCATTCCCTCTACCATTACGCCCACTATTTCAAATGCCCCTCACTACGAACCCATCCTACTACCAAAACCACCACCCGATACCATTGATTTATCACCACCACCTACACTCCCTCACCAAAACCAAACCAACCTCGACGCTCCATCGGAACATTCAAACCACCTTCCCATATCCATGACTATGAATGTCCAACCATTCCATACACATCCCCATATACATTATCCACTATCCAATCTTACCATAATCTCTTTTCCACTTATCACGCCTACTTTATCGCCCTCTCTTTCATAACAGAACCTACCACTTATAAACAAGTTATGTTACACCAAGAATGAAAAGATGCAACATAAGCGGAATTATAAGCTTGTGAAGAAAATGATACTTGGAATCTTACCTTCCTTTCATCCGAAAAGACTATCATTGATCTGCAAATGGGTCTACATATTAAAATTCAATGCCAATGGCGACTTGCAACGGTGCAAAAATCATCTTATTACTAAACACTTCACCAATAAATTGGCCTTGACTAAACGGACACCTTCTCTCAAGTTGCTCGACTCATAACAACTCATATTCCGTTAGCCTTGACGACCTCACAACACTTGCACCTTCACCGGTTGGATATTACCAATGATTTCCTCCATGGAGACCTTCATAAAGAAGTTTACATAAAACCTCCCCAGGTCTTCCTCTATCTCACCTAAACATGATTTGTCACCTCGAGAAAGTCTTTATGGCCTCGAGCGAGGCGGCATACAATGCTATACCAAGCTTTCCTCCACACTTCTCTCGGATGGCTTTGTTCATTCCACCTCCGATCATTCATGTTCATCAAGAAATGAGCTACTCGAATTTGTCATTCTCATAGTCTATATTGATGATGTCTTACTAGCTAGCAATAACTTTTCCCTCATCAACACCACCAAGCAATACCTTGATAATGCCTTCAAAATCAAGGATCTTGGTCCAACAAAGTACTTCATTGGTCTAGAATTGGCTCGTTCTTCCTTTGACATCAATCTCACTCAATAAAAATACACTTTAGAACTACTTCGGGAGATAGATTTTTCGAAACTCCAAGCCTCTATCTACCCCTATTATGCCTAACACTCTCATCACTGTACTTAGAGACCCATTTCTAGATGTCACCTCTTATTGTAGTGTCATCAATAAATTGCCCTACTTAACCACCACAAGGCTAGACATCGGTTTTTAGTCGGTAACTCTCTCGGTACATTAACAAACCAACTACTTTTCACGTTCAAGTTGTTCATAAAATCTTAAGGTATTTGAAGAACTCACCCGAACAAGGAATCTTTTTCACATCGACTCCCCTTTACAACTTCATACCTTCTCCAATTTTGATTGGGCCACTTAACTAGATTCCTACAAATCTATCATCGGATTTTGCGTCTTCTTTAGGTCTTCTCTGGTCTTTTGGAAGTCTAAGAAACGAGGCCACGATCTTCAAAAGCTCTTTTGAAGCGAGTACCATGCATTGGCCACCACCACTTTCGAGCTCCAATGGCTACTTTATCTTCTTCAAGATCTTGGCATCCTACATCCTCAAGCATCTCTTTTTTTTTTGTGATAACAAATCAATAATCCACATTGTAAAAAATCCCATCTTTCATGAATGAACCAAACACATCAAAATTGACTACCATATCGTTCATGATAAGATTCAAAACGGCATCGTTCATCTCTTACCAGTTTCTTCCCAAGGTCAACTCGTCGATATCTTCACCAAAGCACTCCTTAGGCCCTCCTTTCGGATAATGCTACATAAGTTAGGTGTACATGATGTATACTCGTCCAACTTACGGGGTTGTGATAAATCAAATGAAATTGAAACCAAATGAAATGATCGGGCATGAAACATTGAAATAAGCTCAACACATATTGGTCTCTACACGTGGGCTACTTACAAGGTAAAATGACACGAGCTGGATCCGCCAAGGCTACTTGGACTATTTTTACATTAGGCCCCATTTACATTTTCTCCTCTAGCTATTTTTTTCTTCTCATCTCGCTCTCCCTCTTTTTATAGCCTTGTATAGTTTGTTAATCTGTTACGCTAAGCTTCCTTATGACTTTGTTACCAATTCTTTCCTCTTTTAGATTTTTGGATAGGTGCTTGAGTTGTAATAGAAATGATAATTGTACTAGCCTATAAATAAGCCCTTATTAATAAATAAAAAAGTTGAGATAAAATTATACACAAACGAGTTCCTCTTATTTTATCAATTATTTCTTTCACTATATAATGGCTTTTTTTTATATAGTTTTTAAGTATTTTAAACACGGTTATTATGAAAATTTTCGCTACATCACACTTTAGCCCTTCTTTTTAAACAATGTTTTTTTAGTCCATGAATATTTTTATTTCATTTTCATCCCTCTTTTTTGCTTTATTTTGATCACTTTGATCCTTTATTTTTTATATTTTTAATTAAAAATTTTAAGGCAAAATAATGTTGAGAAAAAACAATTATAAAATAAGTTTTTAGCTACGAATACATTGATTTTGCTTTTTTATATTATTATAAATTTTTTAGTTTATGGATAGAAATAAATAAATAATGTTTTGAAAATTTATAAAAAAATATAAAGAATAATTAATCAAATCTAAAATTTTGATTAAAAAATTATAAAATTAAATGAATTTTTTTTCAGTTTTGATTTGATATATTTCGGTATATGCACAATATAACACGGAACATCGATTAAAATATTTTTTAAAATAATTTTATATGTTTTGTCCGATCCACAACATAACGCGGGTGAAAAACTAGTTTTGGACTAAAACAATACCATGTGCTTTCATGTACGCTTAGAGATGACAATGGATGGATAGATAGTCTAATAATTTGATTTTTTGTTATATTCATAAGAAAATATTCTATCGATTACCCAATAAGAAATCATTATATAAATTTTTACTCGGTTCATACCTAATCTATATTAGTTTACCGCTCATTTAGTACTCATTTAATATCCACTAAAAATGATTTATCAAAAATATTTATTACGAGTCCCTATATTTTTAAGAAAAAAATTTTAGTCCTTTATTTATAAGTTTTAGTCCTCAAAGTTTTTGAAAAAATATTTTGATCCTTAATTTTTAAAGTTTATGAAATTAGATCCCTACATGTTAATAAAAAAATCAAAATAAATTAATGGGCATTAATAGAATAAAAAGTAGGTATCTATATCCCGAAGCCATATTAGTGGGTATGTATTTTTTACCCTTATCCACTTTAATACCCATTAGATATTTTTAATAAATATATATTAGGCAGTATGAAAGTGGTTAATCGTTTTATACTCAACTCATTGTCATTTTTTTGTACATTAGAATAGGATCCTATTGACTAAAAAAAAAAATAGAATCAAGGTTAAACACGAAAAAAAAAAGCCAATATCAACAAAATAATCATGGATATATATATATATATATATATATTGGTTGGTAGACTAAGAGCATGAAGAAAGAAGAAATAAAGAAAGAAATTAAGAGAATGAAGACTAAAATTATGGGGAAGATAGAAAATAAGAGAGAGGGAGTGAAAGGCAATGAAATAGAGGATGTTAAAGGGAATGAAAGTAAATGCGTAAGAGATGAAGCATTTTGGAAATAAGAGAGATATATAAATGATAATGGAAATTGGATAGACGAGGGCGAAAAACTAAATTTTATCCCAAAAGTTGAATTACCGAGTAAAAATTCTATTGGTAAATTTATTTATTTATGGATATTTTAGGAGAGGAAAATTATTTTTGGAAGGAAAACCAACTTTTTTTCAAAAAATTTAAATTTGATGTGTTTATATATATAAAGGGAAATTTTTTTATGATGGAAAACCAATGTTTTTCAAAACTTTGGAGAAAATTTTTAAGAGTAAATAGATCAATATATCTTTATATAATAATTTAAATTTTGAATCTGTTTGTGCATTTCTAATTGCATATATTATGTTTCTAAATATTGGTTTGGTCTCCAATCTCTCCTTTCGACCATGATCAGTTTTGTTTTTTTTAACCAAAATATCCCTAAATGAAATGCAAAAAAAATTAAAATTAAAAAAAATCACTTGAAGTAACATGATCCGTATGTTCCATCTCATGAATCTTTAGATTTTATTTATTTATTTATTTATTATTATTATTATTATTTTATACATTTCAATTAGTGTCATTTTGGTTTTTTTTAAAAAATTTGCTTATGGTTTGAAAAATTAAGAAAAAAATAGATTAGAGACTTAAATATTATTCAAAGACATAATAGATGCAATTAGAAATGTAAGGACACGTTAATCTACTTATCCAAAATATAATTTTGTCCTTTTTTTTGTTGGGGGGAACTTTTCCTTCAAATTAGTCCATTATTTCAAAATTTGATAGATAATTAAAAAATAATTTTTTTTAGCTATAAAACCCCAAATTAAAGTTAGTTAGGTTTGCTATTAAAAAACAATTCAGTTAAATTTAGGCATGAAAATTGAAGAAAAACACAACCATGAGATTTTTCATCAATAATATACATTACGTGTGAGCATTTGGAGAATGTTTCTTAAAAAAAAAGGAAGTCAAAAATTATAATTTTATATTTTAGGGATAATCGACACATTATCAGTTAATAAAGAAATTGAAGTACTTGATTGATAATTTTAAAAAAATAGTGTATTCAAATAAAAAAATTAAAGTTTAGATATTCAATTGAGAGGAAAAAAAAAGAGCAAAATTATAATTTCGTATCCTCGAGTTCATAGACACCTCATCGGTTAATAAAGAACTACTTGATTGACAATTTTAAAAAAATTATTGTATTCAATTAAAAAAAATATAAAATCCATAAACTCAAATTGACAAAAAGTTAAAAATCGATGTCCTCATGGTGCAATGATCTCCAATTCTTTAGTCTTTAGCTTTTGGCAACCCCCTATGAAAAATTATTTAAAATTTTATGATTTTACAAGAGTTGAATCATATACCATCTATAACTTTATGTTTTTTACTTAAACTATTTTTAATAAATTATTATATTATTTGATGCATTTAAATTTATAGTACATGTTTTTAAAATCAATATCAATCAATAATTCAAATTCCAAGCACGGAAAATGTACAATGCATGTACCTATTATAAAAAATTTTGTTGCTTTTTTGTTTTGTTTTAATTATTG